CCTGAACACAGGATGAACATCCAAAAACCATGTTATCCAAAGACAAGGATATTATACCATTTTTTGACAAATACTGGGAGTGCATGACAACTAGACAGAGACCTGGGAAAATGACTTGGCCAAATAATATCATTTATTAAAACAATGGTCTTCAGGAGCAATGACTGTGGAGGGAGAGAAGGATATCACATATGGAGCTCCAGCCTTGGAGTTGATGGAAGACCAGCCAAAAAATGACTCTAGGCTCATTATTTTCAACCTTGTTATACCCTCAATGCTAGAAGCTGAAGAAACTTTGGCTACATTTTCAGAGTCCAGCAAATAGATGATAACTCCACTTTACAGGTGATGAAATAGGCCCAGAGAGATTAAACAACTTGTCCACAGACCCAGAGTTAATAAATAGCAAAGCAAGGATTTAGTCTCAGTTATGATTCTTAAATAAGTAAAGGCTTTTTGTGTTCTCCAAAGTCTTTGCTATTGAGGCAGCAATTGTAACATATGCAAGAGTCTACTTGTAAACAATTTATTCTTTAGGTATGCACCCATTCCTTGGTGGTCTAAGATATAAAAATGAAAAACAGGAGGTCTCCAAAATAGAAAAAGGAAAAACAAAAGAGTAAAGTTACTTTATTAAATCTAAATATATATGCAGGTATGTTGCCTATTATAATCAGGCATGTAAGTAAACATATATAGTATATGCAAAATCATTAATCATTTACTACCATGTTAAAATAAATTTAATTTCTACTACCTTTTATTTGGGAAAAAAAGTAACATAAGAAGTCATGTGCAATATAAAGCAAAAATTAATAATCCTATGCTCACTTCCTCTCTAATATAGTAGTTAATGGTTTGTGTTTGTTTTTTTTTTTCAACATGAGTTTTGGAGGGGACAAACATTCAAACAGTAGCATAGTATTTTGTTATAGTGACACATTAAAAATGTTACAGTACAAAAATGTATGGAACTGCTTACACTTTGATTTGTGTTTCTTACAAGAAAAACATTTTTTCAAGTAAGAGGTAGCTTGCCTGGCAAGGAGCTCAATGTGTCTTCTGGGTAGGGATTTTGTAGGCATGTCTGTGCTATGCCAATTCATTAGGCATTGGACTTTTCTGCATGGATACTTCAATGAAAAGGTTAAAAACAGGAGTCCAGATGAGATGCAAAGTAATCTGAAACTAAGGGTAGAAACAGAAGAGCAGCAAATATCTGATTAGTGAGCCATTCTTAATATAACACAGTCTATGGAAAGAACAACCTTGGAATAGTGTATAACCAGAGTCAGAATAAACCCTATTCTAAAAAGAAACACGTTTGTAATCCAGTAGCACTCCCAAGAATGTCAAGGGAATGAACTATTGTTGCATTAACATTTTTCAGAAAATAATCCTTTTCAGTACCCAAGGGAAAATTACCCACCTACTATTTTATAAAATGAAATTGCTTTCTTCAAATAGTTTTTTCAAGATGGGCTCACATTTCAGTACTTTGCTGTTCAAAGTGACCCTACTTCAGGAGTATAGTAAACAAAAAAGGAAAAACACCATTTGATTTTTAGTAACAATTACACAACAAAAAGCAGAACTCAATTTTCTAACATGGTCTACCAAACATGGCAAAATACCTCTCTTTTATCTTCTTGTGGAAGCAAAGGGACAAAGACATTCTCAAACATTTGTTTTATTGTCCATGTCCATAACCATCTCCTCTTTATTGTGTCGCAACTTTAAATCTGAGTTTAGAACATTTATTTCTAGCATCAGTGCATAAAATTCCATGCTACTCCAAGTGTATGGCCTTTAAAATTTGGCATGGAGAGTCCATTTTAAGGCAAACGAGTAATAATTCTAACTTATAATTTTAAGAAACATTTAAAAAATCTCTAAGCTGTCACACCCATAGCTGGTTCTTGCCATGGTTTTTTGCAGTGTTTGCCCCTCCTCCTCCAGCTCCTGTGCCCTGCCTGAGGTAGAGGAGTTGAACTGCTGATAGGATGGGACTAGTGACTGACTCTCATCTGCTGACATCATCCATATCTGACCAGCTATGACACTTTGGCATTACTGTCACATTTCTGCTGGCCTATACAGAGGGGCAGTTTGGTTCCATTAAGCACTGTTCAATTGCTGACAAGGACCCCATATCTCTTTCTGCAGAAAGCCTTAGCTCCTTGATCAGACTCCCTTCCTATCACTCCCACAAGCACTGAGCAAATGCCTTAGTGTTCATAACAGAATATTAACACTATTATGTTCTCATTTGGTTTTCAAATGTATAGGTTTCTCTTTAATCAGCAGTGAAGTTATCTGGGTTTCAGATAAATCTTAAACTGTCCTGCTTCTATTACAGGTCATGCTAAAAAGAATGATAGCATGTAGGGAAGAAGGCCTGACCTTGGAGTTATCAAAGGCACTATGACTATTTGCAGAATCAAATTCAGCATTTTCACTTAGCCAGAAAGGGACCTAGAACTTCCAGCATCATTTTGCAGATTAGCATTTTACTTGAATGCATTTTATGTGGACAGAAAGAGAACCAGCTTTGATGCCGGGGCCACACTTTAACCCTGCTATCTACAAATGAGGAACTGAGATGTAAAAGTCAGTAGGAGGATTTGTGGATTCTTCCCAGAAAGAGATGATGAAGGAGATAATGGAGACAAGATGGAGATATGCAGGAGACACCATTTAAGAAGAGTGCCTGAAAAGCAGCTAGCTTTCTATTCAGGTGGGAGAGTTGTCACCAAGTGGAACCTCTGGGTTATTTCAGCAAAGACATGCATTGCCTAGAATTCAGAGTTATAAAACCTATTTTCTACATCTGTCTGTTCTTTTGTGGCTGCAAGGTAACAATCTTGTATTCATCTGCCAGAAGCTAAACTGCAGCTACCACTGAGGCATGTATGGGTCATGAATGCCAGTCAGCAATGATATTTCACTGGGCTTTCTGGTCTAGTTTCAGGTGTGAGTTATCTTTTATCTCTCAAATCACTAATACCCAGGAATTTTCTTCCATTCCAGCCAGAAGCGTGCTGTTGCTAAGCAACTAGGACAAAATACTGCTAAAGATACTTTCCACGCCAAAAGTGTGTGGTTAAAACAAACTGGGTGACAAAGTTACTTCAAGTTAGAACTAAGAGAGGCTAAAGATAGGACACACAGAGACCATTTAGAAAAGTCTGTATGTTTTATTTGGGCATGTTGACACCAGACCATGCCTTGACTTCATTACTAACAGGTTCAAACCATCTTCACAGAAACCTAGTGTGTCTGCAAAGTCAGTGAGATGCAACACTACAAATCACAGTCCAACAGAGGATTTCATGTAGGTCCCATTCTCCAAGGGCTGATGTATACATTCTTTTTTTTTTTTTTGAGACAGAGTCTCATCCTGTTGCCCTGGGTGGAGTGTCATGGCATCACCATTCACACCAACCTCAAATTCTTGGGCACAAACAATCCTCTTGCCTCAGCCTTCCAAGTAGCTGGGCTCACAAGTACCCACCAGAACGCCTGGCTATTTTTCAGAGACTGGTGTCTCACTCTTGGCTCATGCTGGTCTCAAACTCCTGAGCTCAGGCAATCCACTCACTTCAGCCTTCCAGAGTGCTAGGATTACAGGTATGAGCCACCACACTTGGCATGCACACCAATTCTGATGGGTACAAAATTCTAGATGAGGGGAGATGAAGTCCTACCTTGGGAAGTAATAGTGCAGTCACTCCTGAGTTTCCTCTGATCTTTAACCCCATTTGTACTTCATTGGGGGTGTGTGTGTGTGTGTGTGTGTGTGTGTGTTTGCTTTGTCTGTTTTTCCTCCCAATTCTTTTTAATTCAATGATGTTGAAGACTTTCCCTCTTTCTACCTGGCGGGCCGAGACTTCTATGCATCAATGTACAAAGTTATGATTTAATAAAAAATTAAAAAAAAAATCAAGACTTCAAGCCACCTCTAGATCACAGTGTTCCATAGACTGTAGCATTTCTGTATATGACCTTTGGAGTCACATGACTTTCACTGCCCAGTTAAGCATTAACTAAGGATTCAGTACTCTGATAAAAGGAAAATATTTGTCCGCGGTAATGTTCTCCCAGTTCCGGCACTCCAATTAACTACTACTGCAGACACTGCAGTCAATTATCCTATCGGGCTGCTGTCCTCTTCCTTCAGGAGTGACACAAAAGCATACAAGCAAAAGGGTTACAACAGATAGATGAGGCAGCCAACGTCCACATTTATTGCAGAGTATCTCCTTGCCCAGTCTTCAGGTTCTGGGTTCCACCACTGGCTGGGCACAAACATAATTGCTGATGGGGATCCAGAGAAAGCCTACAACCTCCCCACAAATTTTCCCAGCAGGACAAACAAACCACAGAAGGTACAGAGTCCCTCCACTCCTTGGAAAGTGTCCAATTCGGAAAAGGGAATTGGTTCTGTATGGGTTGGTGTGTAAATGACCAGAAATGTAAGAAATGGGTTTAATTCCAAACGGTACAGCTGAAGGGACGAGACATGTGGGATACCAAGACAAAGCCCCCTGGCTTTCAGAAGTTCACAGGAAGACAAGACGGGAACAGGGACAAGACAGCAGATCGTTCAGACCCTCCACCTCGAGGGAGACCCCAGCGGATATCCACAGACACATTATCCTTTAGCTTCGAATTTTCCCAACAACTTGTCTTAGGGTCTGGCACGGGAGCATCACCCAGGAAAATAGGTCGACTCCCACCCGGCACTTAAAACAGCAACCTCCCCCCACCCCCCGCGCGCCTGTTGGTCCCTACTCTCGACGCCGTCGCGGATGCGGAAAGGACGGGACGCCCAAGGGGCGCGGGGCCGCGCACCGGGCCGCGCACCGGGCCTACTTTCCGGCATGCTCGTTTCGGGGGACTCCGGCCTCCCCAGCGGTCGCGCCCACCCTCTCCTGTACCCGCACCGCCCCCAGCTCCCCGCAGGCCCTCGCGTCAGCAGCCGCGCCCCCTCATCTCACCTCGGGCGGGAGCCGGCGGCAGCTGAGGGCGTGTAGTGCTCAGCACATCCTCGAGTCGCAGGGAGCCGGAAAATGAGGCGGCGCGGAGCCCGCAACTAGTTATGTAACCGGCAGGGGCCGTAACCGGGACGGAGGCGGCGGCCCGCGGCACTTCCGCCTCCCGCTCCCGGCGGCGGCGCAGCCCGGAAGCTCATTGGCCATCCTCCCACATGGCACCGCCCTCTCGGATGCCGCCGTCGCCGCCATCTTAGGAGCGGGCAGGCCTCGAGAGAACTTGGGAAAGCGTCCGCCGGTAACCGGTGACAGCCAGCGGAGGGAATAAGGCTTGACCCCTGCTCTCACAGCCGCTGGAGGTGCCCAGATGTGGCCGGCCGGACCCATGAGTGCCCCCAGGCGTGGCGCACGTGGACGCTGGTGGTGCCATTCCGGGTTGAGGTGCTTTGGGCTCTTCCGAGCGTCCCACGTGCAGACACAGGCCTGCTCACTCGCCGCCCTCTAGTTATTGGCTAATACTTGCTTATCTTACATTGGGCTTGAAGTTTACTATATCCAAGCACCTGCCCTGGCGTTGACACTCTGCAGACGACTGAATGAAGCTGTACATAGTTGTGTCTCCCCTACACTCCCAATCCCAGGCTGACTGGCAGCGCCACCCTGCGATACAGCTGGACGTCCTCAGCAAGACAGAAAGGCAGTTTAGGGATGACATTATGTATAACAGGCAAGGGTCAGTTGTCCCTAAAGTTGCAGGGCATTCTGTAATGCATGATCTAATTCAAATTTTGTTATGGAACCTGTAATAAGCAAACCCATTACATTTATTTTTCTCTGCTTTCAAATAACCACAACGGTTCACATAACCAAAGAATGGAATAAGAAGAAACTGTGTACAAGACAAAGCCTAAAATGATTAACCCTAAAAAAGATTTAATTCATAACAAAGAGAATAAACTTTATGACAGATTAAAGTATCTTTGTATCCCAAATAAAATGACGCTATTCTTATGATTGCAAAAGGTAAAACAAATAAAAAAGCATATTCTTTTATCATTTTGGCAAGGAAAAAGTACCTCATGATCTTAGAAGTTTAAAAAGTACTTGGGGTCAGGTACAATGGCTCACACCTGTTTAACTCTAACACTCTGGGAGGCAAGGTGCATGGATTGCCTGAGCACAGAACAAGTGCAAGACCCAGTCTCTAAAACTAGCCGCTGGCTTGGCGCCTGTGGCTCAAGCGGCTAGGGCGCCAGCCACATACACCTAAGGTTGCGGGTTCGAATCCCCAGCCCGGGCCCGCCAAACAA